AGTATCATGGTTCTCCAGAGAAGAACAGAGCAGCAGAGAATTTGATATTATGCTCCCTAAAAGTTTCTTGGAATATACCAAGTCTTGTCCCAAATAAATGAAAAGCTGTGAAAATCAAAAAAAAAATGTATGGTCTATAACAATAAAATCTTAAATTTGACTTCATCAGAATTAAAATAGTTTACTCTATGAAAGACACTGTTAGGAAAAGAAACTACACTTAGCCTCCAGTGACTCTTTTCTAAGTTTAATTGGAAATGTCTTAATGGCTGCATAAAATATAAATAGATGAGAAGATTGGAATCAGAAAGTGATATACCTTACATTATTAAACATACTGGAATCACCTTTTTCTAAATATTGTGGTAACTGTGATGTTGTAATAGACTGGTACAGAACCCAGTACAAATAAAAACTTAGTGTTGTATAATGTATACAATACTGTGTGGCAGATGCCTGTGTTATAGTAAAAATACATTTTAAAAGGAAGTTTTAGTGCTGGCCAAAACTCAGTGGATTAAAGTGCCTGCAAGCAGGTGTGCAGGGGCCTAGGGTTTGATCCCCTGGCCTGCCTGCCCCCGGGGCATGCTGACACCATCTGGTAGCCTCTGAACACCCTGTAGACCCTTCCCTAAAATACAGGAAAAAAGGAAGTTTTGTTCCTTACATTTAATTATATTTTATGTTTTATATGTTGTCTCGGTTACTTTTTACTCATTGCTGGGACAAAATACCTAATACCCACAATTAAGGAAGAAAAGGTTTATTTAGCTTACAGTTTGTGGAGGTTTCAGTCTATACTCAGCTGGCTCCCAGGCAGAGTGGCACATGGCAGACAGCAGCAGTTCATGGCAACAGAAAACAGGGGAAGAGCCTCTCTCCCTTCCTTATATTGTAAACAAGCTACACTGGGGCTAGGTGAGTAGATCTCCCACAATGTCCATGCCCTCTTGCACAGGATGAGGATGTTTACAAGCTAAGAATCCTGGCTGTCTGCTGAGTCACTTAAATTTCTAAACTTCTCAAGTTGACACAATGTATCAAACAATACAATGCACCCCTTGTCAACTTGGCAACCAGACATTTCCTTAAACCAGTTTTTAGGTACATAGACATGCTTATTAACATTTTACAGCTTGAACATTGTATTACATTAGAACCATGGCATTTTGCCCCTGAGCACCCTCTCCCCAAAGAGTGAACATACCTTTATGCAAAAGGCATTTTAGTCCATCTGTAACAGTTGCCAAAGTCCTAACAGTTTCAGCATTGCTGAAAAGTCCAAGTCCCAAGTCTCCTCCACATCTAAGGCAAACTCTTAGCTGTGAGCCCCTGTACAAATAAAAAGTTAAAGACTCCCAACATTCAAAGGCACAAGATAAACGTTACCATTCCAAAAGGTATACACAGCACGATACAAACAATTGGAATCAACACAAGTCCAAAATCCAGAAGGGCAAACATTAAGTCATCTAGTTCCATGTGGAACATCCGAAGCAATCTGTAAGGAGTTGTGAGCTCCAAAAGCCTTACATGGCTCCACCCCTACAGCACTTCCGCTGGTAGCTCACATGGCTTTTCTCTGGGGCTGGCTTTGCTCTCTCCTTGCAGCTGTCCTTAGACAATCCATGTTCTAGCTTTTTTAAACTTCTGAGGTTTCCATTGAATAGGCTTCTTACAGCTTTACATACTGCCCTCTCATGGGCCACATTGCCTGGTCTCCCAGGCCTTCTGAAATCTTGGTGGAAACCTTTTTAACTTCAGAATTCCTGCATTCTGCATGTGCCTAAAGCCAGTGCCACATGGATGATGCCAAGGGCTGCTGCCAGCTGGAGTAGTAGCCAGGCTTCTTTCTCTCTTGGCTGTAGGGGTCGAGTGCCTGGATTGCTGAGCACTCTGACCTTGATTCCAAGGAACAAATTCTCTGTGCTGGCACCGTTTTGGAACCTGGTGTGGTCATCGTCTCCATTCTGGAACATGGAGCTCTTCAGCTTTCTCCTCAGAGCAAAGTCCCTCACCCTTGTGATTCTGAGGCTGCAAAGGGCAAGAACCTGCCACCTCCTGTATGTCCTCAGGACATTTTTTTTTCCTACTCTCCTGTTCCTTCTCAGCAGTGGAGAGCTCAGCTGTATCTTTGCATTCCACAGCTTTATTGGAGCTTCCTTTCTGGCCAAACTCCCAACATTTTAAATCATCTTGCTGGACTTTTTGCTCTTGATTCTCAACATAAATCTGGCTAAACGCCCCCAACAACAGCTATGCCACTGCCTCAATATTTGATTGCCTTGTGATCTCATTTGCAAGATTAACTAGTCCGTTGTGCTTAATTTCAGTCTTAGGAAAAGCTCTGGACAGGAGCAAAATGCTGGCAAACCTGCCAAGCCATGATGCAAATCATCTGGAGTCCAGCAACCAATACAGTCCTTCCTAGCAGAAACCTCCCCGGCCTGGTCTTTACAGGCAGGCTTTTTATCAGTCTTCTGGTCTTCTGAGCTCTGACCAGAATCTCCCATACTGAGCAACTGAAGCTCTTCCAGTGCTTCACTTGTAGGCAACATCTCCAAACCTTTTCTATAAGCCAATTCCCATAAGCTTGTGATGTACATGGTCAGGTTTAGCCACAACAACTCACACAATGTCCATGCCCTCCTTTTGTATAGGATGAGGATGTTTACAAACTAAGAATCCTGGCTCTCTGCTGAGTCACTTAATTAAACTTCTAAACTTTTCAAGTTGACACAATGTAGCAACCACTACATATGTGGACAAAGACAATTTGTTATTCAGTGTAGCCTAGGCAAGCCAGGTATCCCACAGGCTGCTAAGCACCTGAGTCTTAGAAAAAAAATACATTAGATACAACATTTAGTTCCAGATGTATGAAAAAGTGAAAACAATGAAATTTGTGAGAGCAAATCTTAGATGCTTCCCTACTCTGAGTAACTATGATTGTCATCTGAGGAAAAGACTTTTTAATGCTAGTCCTCTAGTTTTCAGGAGACAACTACAGTTACACATTGTTTATTCATCTAGGAACATAGCCATTCTTTTTTTTTTTTTTGTATTGGGATTTGAACTCATGACCTTGTACTTGCCAGGCAGGTGCTTTATGCTGCTGAGCTGTCACCCCAGCTGTTTATTCATCTAGTCTTTTAAAAATACATTTAAATATATACAGAATTAATAGTTTTTTCAGGAGTTTTTTATATACAAAGTACCAACTTTATTACTTTTGTTACTCAATGGTATGTTTGAGAGATCTCTTAACATTAGTACACAGACTATAATTTTTATGATATCTCTTTCTCATTGAAACTAGAGCCTTTGTCCTGAGCTGCTTCCCCACCTCTCCTCCCCTTTTTTTTAAGACCATCTTGTTAAGTTTGTTAGCTGAGCTTTGTGTCCTCCTGCCTCAACCATCTAGAGTGCTGCATGAGTTCTTTATTAATTAATGCTGAGAAAACTCATTTGTGCCAATTATATTAATTTAGTCATTATTACTTACGTTTAACTCTTAAGTAAATGTTATTGATAATTTCTTTTTTTTTTTTGCTCCTTGAATGCCTTCAGGGCACTTTTGCATGGCTGGAGTGTTGTGGGGATCGAACTACAGCAAACTGAGGCTGCCAGCATTGTGGAAGCAGCCACTTAAAGAACTGAGCTAGGGCTGGGCCCCCTATTGATAATTTCTTATGTTCTGTGTAACACCTTTTTTCTTGAGATGTGATTTTATTGTGTTGCCTGGGGTGGTTTCAATCTCAGGAGCTGAAATGATCCTCCTGCCTCAGCCTCCTAAATAGCAGGTACTGTATGTAAGTGCCACCACACCCAGCCAAACATCTTATTTTTCTTTTTTGATATCAACATCTTAGGACCTTGCACTTGGCAGGTAGACACTTGTGCAACTGCCTATATTCCTAGCCCTACACTTTATTATTCTATTAAAATTATATTTTTTCTGAAAGAGCACAGGTTTATTTTGTAGAGGTTTCAGTTGTAGTTGGCTAATTCCAAGGCAAGTCATTATGGTAGAGGGGCACTGCAGAGAAAGGAGAAATAGGTCATGTCATGGAGACAGGAAGCAAGAATGACTGTATTTTCTAATGCTACATTGTTATTGAACTTTTTTGAGTAATTTTCCAGCAGTGTATGGGATTATTATACTTTTCTCTGTCCCTATTGTCTGGAAATGCAGGTGTTTTTCCCCTTTGACTTTTATTGATAGCTTGTCTGAGTTTAGAATTTTAAGGTAGATTTTTTTTTTGGGTACTAGGAATCGAACTCTTGACCCTGTGCTTGCCCAGCTGGCACTGTGCCACTGAGCTAGATCTCCGGCCCCTGAATTTAAAATTTTAGGTCGTAGTTCTTTGTCAGAATTCTGCAGACATTTCTCTTTTGACTTCTAGCATTCAGTGTCATATGTTGGAGGTCTGGTGCATATTTGAAGATCTTTCATTGGTTAGTAGCCTAATATTTATGTCTGGAATGCTAGAGCCCTTTATTTTGGCAATTCAGAAAGTAAAACAGAATAAATGTCCTGCTATTTTGTATTTTGATTATTTTTGCCCTGACTTTATAGATCTTTTACATATGAAAACCTGGAGGTTTCTTAGAAAGGCATACATGTTACCTGTTATTTTACTTTTTCTCAGTTTATTTTGAGATTTCTTTGAGGTATTGATTTTTTCTTTTATGATATGAGGATTAAACCAAGGGTCTAACAATGCTAATCTAAGAGCTACCCCCCCACTTCTAAAGTACTGATGTATTGTGTAGGAAGGTTTATAACATACTTAATGAGATGTTAAAACTGCTGCATTGCCTGTTAGGGGGAATCAAAGTATCAAGTAAAGGATAACAATCATTGCATAGATCCCCCCCAAAGAAATGACAAATGAAAATACATACATATATACAATAAAGCATTCAGTTGACTGGTGCTAAAAATGTGTATACAATTTGTACAACTTTAAATTGGAATTTATTCTTTCCATTTTTAGGACCGGAAGTTAACCAAAGCTGAGCAGCAAAGGTTCAAGGAAGAAGCAGAGATGCTGAAAGGTCTCCAGCATCCCAATATAGTTCGATTTTATGATTCTTGGGAGTCTATTTTAAAAGGAAAAAAATGTATTGTATTAGTGACTGAACTAATGACATCAGGAACCTTAAAAACGTAAGTTTGTCATGATAGTGCCAATGAAGTTTTATTTGTAAATAACTTTTAGGAGTCATAAAAGTTATTTATAAAGTAATACTTGATTGAAGAATTTATTTCAGGGTAGATTAAGAATTTAGAGTGTTATATGATTGTAGTGGTGTACTCTGTAATCCCAGCACTCTGAGAAACTGAGGTGTTAAGATCACAAGTTTTATGGCCAGGGAGACAGCTCAGTAGAATAAGAAGAGCCTTCCTGGCAAGTGCAGGGTCCTAAATTCAATCCCCGGTACCACAAAAAAATTATAAGTTTTAAGCCTAGCTTGAAAAACATGGTAATGTAGCAAGACCTTTTCTCATAAATATAAAAAATAGGTGGGAGTAGGGGTGAAGCTTGGTGAAAAAGACAACTAAAACAGTGATGACTTTCTAGACCTTTCAGTGATAGAAACAGACCAATGTCAAACATGTGCCCTAGGTTTGCTGCCATTGCCCTCCCACCACAAAAAAGAATGTTAGTCGAATATGTTAAGAGTACTGAAAATTGGCAGTGTGACACAATTGAATTTTAGAATTGGGAATCATTATAGTTACATCTTGTAGGAGAAAATGGATAGGGGCTGTCCCAAGTTCATAAATCTTGTGAACAATAAATACTATGTAGTTGTAATCCTGTGTTTCTGGTCATAGTTCTTCATTTGATTCCATAGTAATTTGTAAATAATTGAATATGGGATGTACTTTTTCTTTCCTAGCAGTTTTATGCTACATTTTATATAGTCAACCCCTGTTGTGACTGTAATATATTATTAGGAAGCAAATCAGGACTTTTTCTTGTAAACTGTACTTTTATTCCAAAAGGTTACTATGGTATGAATTAAAAATGCTGCATTTGCTAGGTATAGTAGCTCACACCTGCAATCTGAGCTACTTAGGCATCTAAGCCAGGAAGATCGCAACGCCATGCTAGGCAACTTAGTGATACTTTATCTCAAAATTAAGAAAACAAATAAAAAAGGCTGTGGATGTTACCCTGTAGTAGAGTGCCTCTGAGTTTGATATCCCCTCAGTACTGGAAAAAATTTTAAAACTGTGTTGGGGATGTAACTAAGTGGAAGAGTACTATACTTTAATATACATCAGGTCCAGAGTTCATCCTCAGAACTTCCAAAAAGAAAGCAAAGGCCTATACTTGATAAGATGTCTTTTTTGGGAAAGGTCAAGCTATTTTATTAAGAGTTTTGGATATGCTAAACTGAAATTGAACCTCCCAGTCCCAGAAAATTTGGGTGTTTGTCTGAGAATGGGGTGTTAGGTGGAAATTTTTTTTGCCATAATAGACAATAGAAAACTCAGCAATAGTCATAGTATGTCAAGTTTCAGCTTGCATATGTGATTTACAATAGTAATATTTATACAGTAAGATAGGAACATTTGTTCATACATGGTCTTCTGTTTCTTTGCATAGGTACTTAAAACGATTTAAAGTCATGAAACCAAAGGTCTTAAGGAGCTGGTGCAGGCAGATTTTAAAGGGATTGCAGTTCCTGCACACTAGAACTCCACCTATTATTCACCGGGATCTGAAGTGCGACAATATTTTCATCACAGGACCCACTGGATCTGTGAAGATTGGTGATCTGGGACTGGCCACCTTAATGCGCACATCATTTGCTAAGAGTGTCATTGGTGATTAGCACTTTATAGTTTACTGCTTGGATATATCTATTGTATAGTTCTAGAACAGGAATCAGTTAACTATGGCTCCTGGGTCAAATTTGGCACAACACCTAATTTTACTTATTTTTTTTAGGGAAGAGTCTACAGGGTGTTCAGGGTCTCACTACTAGATTGGACTTGTGGTGATTCTCCTGTTTATAGCCTCCCAAGTGATGGAAGTATAGGCACGTGCCACCATGCCCAGTCTTAATCACCTTCTCAGTGTGCCCTGTGGGCGGGGCTGGCAGGACAGGCCCCTACTCCTTGCTTGCAGGCACTTTAATCCACTGAGCTATTTGGCTGGCCCACAATACCTATTTTTATAAATCAAATTTTATCAGAACACAGCCACATTCACTCACTTATGGATTGCCTATGACTGCTTTTGTTCTAGAAAGTTGAATAATTGTGAGAAAAACATATTACGGACTGCAGAGTGCAAAATATTAACTCTCATTTCACAGAAAAATTTATGAACCCCTGGCTTAGACTGAATATGTTTCAAAATACCTTATATTGACCTGAAATAGAGAGATCTTACTGTATTACTTTTGAGGGATATATTTAGGTTTACTGAAAAGTTCTAAGGATTTAAGGAAGAGAGTTTACTACGTTAATTAAATATGATTGGAGTGATAGCTCAGTGCCATAAGTGCCTACCTGGCAAGCGCAAAATTCCGAGTTCAATCCCTGGTACTGAGAAAAAAAAAATTGAACTAAAATTGATAGAAATGAAAACATCAGTTGTAACCTAATGTTGAGTGTTCCAAATTGTATTTCATTACCATGAAGAGGTTTGAAAATTCTTTTGTTTTGTGTATGTAATACAAATATTATACTTAGAAATTAATATAGGTATTGTGTGGGAAAAGAATCTTGGTGGATATCTTTTTCTCTTTAATGAAAATTATTTTATAGGAACTCCTGAGTTTATGGCTCCAGAGATGTATGAAGAACACTATGACGAATCCGTTGATGTCTATGCTTTTGGAATGTGTATGCTAGAAATGGCTACTTCAGAGTACCCTTATTCTGAGTGCCAGAATGCGGCTCAAATATACCGTAAAGTAACCAGTGTAGGTATAATTTTATTGTTTTTACTTCACAAATTGCCATATTTCTTGTTGAAGTTCATAAAACTGACTTAGTAAAGCCTAATTTGGGGAGTAGGGGCATTAAGTGGTAGAGTACTTGTCTGCCATGTGCAAAGAAAGAAGAAAAAACCTACAAAATTACCCTAATTTTGCTTTAATTATATGTAACAGTAACAATTCAACAATAGTAATGAGGCAAGCTTTATACACTATATCTACCCTCTTGGGTCATCTATAATGTTCTATATTAGTGTTTTAGGGAAAATTTTATATAGATATATCATCTACATTTGTTCTTTCTAGTGAACTTTCAGATATTTACTACATTAACCTTATTTTTCAAAGCTGAATTCTAGGGATTGACTAAGAGGCTTTGAAGGTTTCTAATAGGTTTAAAAGCCTGAGGGCTGGCCAGATAGCTCAGCAGACTAAAGCGCCTGCATAACCAGGGATCTGGTTCAATCCCCAGGTTGTTGTGCCAGCCCTGCACCTGGGGCATGCTGAAATGCGATTGAGACTAGGCGTGGTGGCGTGCATCTGTAATCCCAGTGCTTAGGAGGCTGAAAACAGGAGGATCACTAGGAGTCCGATCCATGTAGTGAGACCCTGTTGACCCTGTCCTAAATACATTAAGAAAAGTAAAAGCCTGATTATGAGAGGGCATTCAAAATACAGTTCTTTACACACACACACACACACACACACACACAAATTGAAAACTACTGTGAATTCTTTAAAAAGTTATTACACTAAAGGACACATTGCTATTAATCTCCCTTAAAATATTTTCCCTTGCTCTGAACATACTTATCCTGTTATTCTTACCATTTTCTGAAGCATTTCTGGAAGTTTTCTTTCATGAATGCCTTTAGTTAATTGCATTATTGTGGCTGAGTGTCCTGAATCAATTTAAAATATTTATGATTCATGGTCATTTTGACTTTTTAGAAGAGCTAGGCATTGTACAATACTAGATCTGATAAATAAAGTGGATAAAAACACATGTTATATAGTGTTTTTACAAATGTTCATTTTCATTGGATGGTCCTTGGCAACAGTATTCACTGAAGCTTTTATGATACTCAAAGATTCCTAGTAATGAGGACTTCCAGAACTGCATCAGAAAGTAACATTAATGGTAGGATAAATGTGTTCAAAGCAAGAGAGTGTGTTGAGGGAGACTAATTCCAATATCTCTTTTCTTACAACTTCTTAAAAGTTTTAAGCATTCACTGTATATTATTATACCTTATATTTGAGCCAGTGCTATGAGGATTGCTTTTGTATTAGAAGTTACAAAGAGAGGGGCTGGCCAAATAGCTCAGTGGATTAAATCGCCTGCAAGCAAGTGCAGGGAAGGGGGTTCAATCCCTGGTCCTGCAGTGCCGGCCCTGTCCCCGGGGCGCACTGAGACAGCAATTGAGACTGGGTGTGGTGTCACGCGCCTATAATCCCAGCTCTTGGGAGGCTGTAAATGGAAGGATTACTATGAGTCCGGTCTAGTAGTGAGACCCTGAACACCCTGTAGACCCTTCCCTAAAATACAAAAAAAGAGAAGTTACAAAGAGGGAAATAGACCTTTTGTAGATGTGAAGGGGACCAAGAGATGGAGGGAAGAGGAGTGGAGGAGAGGGCAAAAGGAAGTAGAAAGACTTAAGAAGTGTTATACACATGTACCAACTTCCTCTGATTAATATAATCATTATATACTGCAAACATGTACTAATAAAAATTAGCTGGGCCTGGTGGTACACACCTATAATTCCTGCACCTGGTAGGCTGACACATGAGGATCATCTCAAGTTCAGTGCCATCCTGGGCTACATAGTGAGTTCAAGGCTAACCTGAAGTGTATAGTCAGAGAGCCTGTCTCACAAAACCAAAAAAATGTTTTTTAAATCAATTAAAAAATAAGAAATTATAAGAAATGTAAAGAAAGTGTTTTCACCCTCCTAGAGCTTATACTTCTAGTGGAGGAATAAACGTAAATTTATAAATGAGTATAAAATGTAGAAATAGAGGATTATTACTGTTTAAGAGGACTGTATCATACATAGTTTAGTGGTCAATGATTGGCCATGAATGAAATTGGTAGTTGTGGGTGGCTATTATTAATAGGTAATGTTTTAAAAATTCCTATAAACAGTAAACACTAAAAATACTGTTACTTTAAATATACCTATTAAAATTATAAAAGTTAAAATGGAATGTGAGGCATTTTGATGTATATACACAATGTGGAATGATTAACTCAAGCTCATTAATATCCATCACCTCAATTGCTAGTCATCGTTTGTGTTGAGATGTTAGAAATTTAATTTCTAAGTTGTATTGAATATAGATTATATTATTATTGACCGTAGTCACTGTGTTGCGCAATACAGATTAAACATACTTCTCTTGCCTTAATTGCAGCTTGTAACCTTTGACTAATGATGTCCTGTTACCCGTATCTCTCCTGTGCCTCTGATAACCATCATTCTCTTTTCTACTGCTGAGTTCGACTCCTTTTTAGATTTTACACATAAGTGAGATCATACAATATTCAGGTTTTTGTGCCTGCTCATTTTTACTTAGCATAATGTCTTCTTAAGTTAATCCATTTTCTTTTTTTTTGCTCTGAATGCCTTCAATGCAGGTTTGGATGGCTTGAGTTGTGGGGATCGAACCACAGCCTCCTGAGCCTGACAGCTTTGGGGAAGCAGCCACTTAAAGAACTGAGCTAGGGCCAGGCCCTGGAATCCATGTTCTTAAAAGTTACAAATTCCTTCTTTTTAAAGGCTGAATAGTATTCTGTTATATACCATATTCCATGTTTTCATTCTCCATTAATCCATTGATTGTTATTTAAGTTGTCCCTATATCTGTTGTGAATGGTGCTTCCATAAACCTCAGGGAATTACAAGCAGTACGTATTTAGAAGACCAGAATGACAGACATTTTAGCATGACCCCACTATTACACATTGCTATCTTCAGTGCAGTCGCCCAGTTCACAGGTATCAGCATACATAGTTAGTCAGGGTGAGAATCCCACCAAGTAACTGCTAGTTTCAACAACCTGCTGATAGTTCTCAGGATCATTGCCTTACCTAACTTGTATGTATAAATGTATGACTTCGCCCCTGTCATGTTTCCAAGCTTTTCTCCTTGCCCTCTTTTTGTTGTCTAATCCTCAGTTTCTCACTTTCAATTGTGTTACACCTTCCTATTTGTATTTCTTCTTTTGAGATCTTATACTAGGGAGACTGTACGATATTTATACATGTAGGTCTGGTTTATTTCACTTATGAGTACATCTTCTAGTGGCATCCACTTAAATATGAAGGCTTCCAGTTTATCATTCTTTATAGCTGAGTAATACTCCATTGACAGACCTTGTCAGATACAAAAGTTACCTTTTTTGTTATATAGGTCTTGTTTTTATCTTGGTCTTAACCATCCAGCAGAAAAGTGTAGAAACGAGGTATGAAAAGTGAAGCCATGTTAATATGCAGAGCCGTGGAAGGCTCAAGTCAATAGATTCAGACATTGCCAGTCCTGTGGATAACCCACTACTATTGTGGACTACTGGACTATATTGGAATATTTTGCTGAATTCATGCATGTACAATATTTGGATGGCAGGGCTGGTGAGATGGCTCAGTGGTCTAAAGCACCTACTTAGAACAAGCTAAGCTAAGCAAAACATAGGGACCACAGTTCAATCCCCCAGTACCACATGCCAGCCAGCCCCGCCCCCTGGTGGGCAGAGCTGGCCACACACAAAATATAAATAAATAAATAAATAAATATTAAAAAAATATTTGGATGGCAATGAAATACCCATCTCTGATGAAACTAAACATAAAAAGGAGATATAAATGAAGGACAATTATGTATCTGTATATACAAAATTGTTAGGATAGATATATAGCCACTTTCTCTTAATTCAATAAGAAAGATTTGTACTAATAGTGTTTGGACAGGATGTCATGTCGGCATCTTAAGCTATGAATGACTACTACAAAGACAACAATATACAATGTATTGTTGTAACTCTCCTATCAACCAGTTTTGAAACTGTCTCATTGTAGTTCTTTTCTCAATAAAATTAAAAAAAAAATTTCAGGGAATTAGATAGCTCTTCAACATGTTGATTTCAGTTTCTTTGGATGTATATCCAGTAGTTGGTTTGCATCAGTAGTTCTATTTTTATTGGATTTTTTGTTTTTGAGGTCCATTCATATCTTCTCCATAATAGTTATATTAATTTATGTTTCCACCAACAGATTATAAGGGTTCCCTTTTTTTTTTTTAAGATTTATTATTTACTTTCCAGGCTTCTTAAACATCATTTCGTGTGTGTGTGTGTGTGTGTGTGTGTCCAGCTCAGCCCACCAGGGGGCGGGGCTGGCTGTCATGTGGTGCTGGGGGATTGAACCGCGGTCCCTGTGCTTTGCTAAGCTTGTTCTAAGTAGGTGCTTTAGACCACTGAGCCATCTCACCAGCCCAAGGGTTCCCTTTCTGAAGCAATTGTTCCATCACTCTGTCTCTTCAAGGTCTTGTTCGCTTTTATTTGCATCCTTTCTAATACTTATTTTTCATCTTTTTATAATAGACATTATAGCAGGTATGAAGGGGTACTTTTTTTTGAGACAGGGTCTCTGTGTAGTTCAGCTTGTCTTGAGCTCACTATGTAGCTGAGGCTGACCTCAGACTTGCAGTGATCATCCTGCCCTAGCCTTCCTAGTAATGGGCTTACAGGCATGTGTCACCATAGCTGGTAGGAACACCATTTTTAATGCATGCAGTAAACCAGATACATTAATCTTTAATCCCTACAAGAAAGGTAGAATTGTTAGTTTATAGATGATAATTCCTAGTTAGACATTGTGACTTGGCCAACTTCCCACAGTAATTGATAATGGTGGATTTTAACCTTAAAGCTGTCTGACTAGTGGTTTGTAGATGAAGATAGTAAGACAGCAGCATTATACAGAATGTAGGACATTGCATAGGACAAATGACCTAGTTTCTTCAACAAAACAATTTCTTACAAAAGGGCAAGGGGTCTTTCATACTTTATAAGAGATTTAGAAGTAGTGTTAAGCTCCTAAATGTTTAACAGCTAAATCTGAAAGATAAAGCACTGATTCTTAGCATTAAGTGGTGTGTGTGTGTGTGTGTGTGTGTGCGCGCGCGTGAGATGTAAATACTCCTGCTATGATTGATAAGTTACTGGTATGATCTTACACCAGAGTTTGGGAAGGTATGCACAATGGCGCTATTTCTACCACATGTATATTGTAAATAACCTCAAATGCATGAATAATGGTAAAATGGGAAGTGATGTTTTCAGTATTTATTGTTTTGTCTATTATAATTTATTTAATTATAACTTTACATAATCCAGTTTTAAAGAAATGATTCTTTACCAATTAATTGGCTTGCAAAGTTTCTGAAAATATAATCGCTTGTGAGTTGCTGTGAGTCTCTTCTAGCACATGTGTAGGGCTTGCTAGGATCTTGATTTGAAGAAAACAACTATAAAAAGACATCATTTACAGTGTTGAAAATTTGAATGTGGATTGTATATTAGATGATAATGAGAGATTGTTCACATTTAGGTGCGATAATTGTATGATTGTGTTTTAAAAGGTGCTTATTTATTAGAAAAATTTATGGATGAAGGGACACAATACCTTAGATTTGCCTTAAAATACCCCAGGATATGAAAGATCTGTAGTCAGCCAAAACAAGGTTGACTCACTAATTATTATTATTGAAGATAATGATGGTTATGTTAGGCTTAATTATGCTAGTCTACTTTTTTGTACCACTGAGGATTGAACCTAGAGCCTTCACACTGCACTACATGCTTAGTCCCCCTTATTTTTTTAATTTTTATTTCAAGATAGGATATCCTTACTTTACCCTGGTGGGCTTTGAACTTGTGTTCATCCTGCCTCATCCTCCCAGGGTGTGCCACTACACATAGCTTATTGTTCTATTTTTTAGTACTATACATTTGAAGATTTCTATAAGAGCTCAGGAAAAATTATGAAATTAGTGATGCATGTCTATAATGTCAATACTCTGAGAGGCTGAGGTAGGAAGATTGCCAGTTTTAACCTTGCTTGGGCAATTGAACAACTTAGTAAGACCATATCTCAAAAAATTGAAAAGGGAATGTGAATGTAGCTCTGTGTGAACATCCTGAGTTCAATCATTAGTACCACCAAAGTGAATGAATGAATGAGCTCAGAAAAAAAGAGGTAGAATGTCTTTTTTTAGTTTGGGTTCCTATTTTGGATAACTCTAAATGGAATGGTGTTTTGTACATGATTCGTAAGTTATAATTCTCCAGATATTTTCATTTTGGAGCGGAAAGAGGCACGCAGAGGTCAAAAATGGGTGCAAGGTCAGTGAAAAGGTCAGCGGGAGCTGTTTTTTCTTTCTCGAATCAGATTTTGCTGTTACATTTCAAAGAGCTTTTTTAAAATAAATACAGTAATAAAACTGCATTCTTTAATGACTGTGTATTTTATATTGAAATCATGATGATATAACATATGATGGTGAAGTTTTCAATTCTGTGTACTGTTACGTAGTGTGACAGGCCTAGAAGAGATCTTAGATTTCCTCAATCCATGACAATTATTTTAGTATACCTTTCTGTTTCTAGCTTAATTAGGAATTTTCTATTGAATGATTATAATAATACTTGGATTCTTCTTAAAAATCTAACTCATAAAAGGTAAAACTGTAAAACAGGCAGATTTAGGCAGCTGACTAAGTTATAGAAACATGAATTATCTGAATTGCATTAATTTGTTTTTAAATTTCTAGAAATGGGTAATTATGAGGTAGGTTCTTTAGATATTTTAGTATTCTTTAAGGATAAAATAATATGTATGTTTCAAATGTTTTCATTATGTGAATATATTTTTCATGCATGCGTATATAACTATACAACTATAAGTATGTGATTGTTCTTTGCTTCTAGCCATTCTAGAAGACTTTGAAATACATTGAGTTGGGATATTATTTTTCTAGTTGAGATTTTATTTTATGTAAATGTTAGGATCCTTTTTCCTTACTTGATATTACATTATGAGAATTCCCCATGTTATTAATTGAAAATAGGTTTAGATTCTATTTTATATACATAAAAATAATATATGTTTGATTTGTAGGTTTATATTATAATTTATCACTTATCTGTAGGACTATGACAAAAATATTTCTCAATGTTACTAAACTTATACTATATGCATGTATTTATCTCATTTAAAACTATGTTGTGGGCTGGTGAGATGGCTCAGTGGTCTAAAGCACCTACTTAGAATCAAGCTTAGCAAAGCACAAGGACCGCGGTTCAATCCCCCAGCACCACATGCCAGCCAGCCCTGCCCCCTGGTGGGCTGAGCTGGCCACACACACACACACACACACACACACACACACGTAAATAAAATTAAAAAAAAAAAAATAAAAAAAAAAATAAAACTATGTTGTGGTTTGGGGATAAGAAAAAGTATTTCATGAGTGTCATGTTGATCTGTGCTTTTAATTGTTTAATTTGTAACAAGAAACCATTTTTCTTCACCCAGGGCATAAAACCAGCGAGCTTCAATAAAGTCACTGACCCTGAAGTGAAAGAAATCATTGAAGGATGTATTCGTCAAAATAAATCTGAAAGGTGGGTGCAAGTGAAGTGAAATGACATAACTGATGGATACATTTTTTCCTTTTATCTCGTACTGGGTCATTTTGGTTTTCTTTTTTTTGGGGGGGGAAGGTACTAAGAATCAAACTTAGGACCTCATACTTGCCCATCAGGAACTGTACCCCTGAGCTAAATTCCCATTCCCACACTGGGTCATTTTCTTACCTTTCTGTTGTGCTGGGTATGACTTGAGTAGATGGCAAATCATAAAGTTTACAGTGAAGTGCATCAGTGTATGTTGTTTGCCATTGTAGATGGTGATGCCTACCACCTACCATGTATTGAATTTTCCTTGTGGTGACATTTACAGTGGTGTATGTTGTGGGGGTAGGAGGTGTATATTTATTGTGCCAAGCTTTTGTCACCATTAGCCATCAGTGTAATAGTTGAATCCTACTAGTTAACTTGATTCTTAACAGTTTAAAGTAGATGTTTTTTATTTGATCATTTATCCTTTATCACAGTGGTAGTGAATCTAATATGTATATTTTTAGTAGGAATTTATATTTTTGTATCATTTGTAGTTTTCTCATGGACAACTGCTTTTATTTATTTTCTAATTAAATTTTATTAGTACATTATAGATATACATAATGATCACATTCATCATAGAGAATTTGTACCTACATGATATAACTTGTTTTTTCCATTCCTCTGGCCTCCCTTCATTCTTTCCTCCCCTTGCCATTTACAAAACTTTGTTTTCGTATGTTCTTTCCTTTCTCATTTTTTTTTACTTTTCCTTTCTTATCTTTCCCCCATCCCCTTTCCTTGGCTTCCCTCCCCAGTTGAACATTTTCTTCCTGTTCCACAATACCTATTATTCAATTTGGTCCTTATTTACACTTTCATTTTCTCACTCCAGAGAAACAGTAGAAAATTCTCTTTAATCTTAGCTTTCAGTTATCTTTGAGCCTTGGAAAATTTTAGGTTTAAATTGCTGACTTAATGTTGTGTTTTGTATCTTCTTCAGTCTAACTCTCTCCCAGCTGAGCTATTTAGGCCACACTGTATCTTCTTACTGATGTTGTGTAATGAAAGTGTTATGTTGTTTATAAAAAAAATGTTGTGTATAAAAAATGATTTTTGACCAGTGTTTCCTTGACCTTCCCTTTTTGTTTTGTGAGTTTTCTATCTAGATTTAGCATTACATGTTTAAAAATATTAAAGCTACTAAAGTAAGATTTGTTTAAATATGGCTATTATAGAACATTCTGACAAGTTCATACTGACAAGCCACAATTAGTTTTTCTAAAAAAAACTTGTAATAAGTATCCATAATTTAGATTTATCTTTTTAAGCCATTTACCCATTCATTTGCATTAAGTGAATTAACATTGTTGTGCAACAATTACAACTATACATCCAGAATTCTTTCATTATACCAAACTTGAAATTGGTTCCTACTAAAATATAATTGTCCATTCCTTCTTCCCTATATCTCTTGTTTGTTAATTTCTATTTTACTTTCAAACTATGAATTTCCCTATTCTACGTACCTCATGTCAGTGGAATAAGTTTATACTTTGTTTGCGTTACTTCATTTAGCATGATGTTTTCATGCCTGCTCTAGCATCTATCTAATTTTCCTGTCTTATTATTATTGTTTCACTTTTTTTTTTTGAGATAAGGTTTTACTTTCTGGCCTAGGTTCACTTTGAATTCTCTACAGAGCCTACGCTGGCCTTGAATTCACAGTCTTTCCCTCTCACCCTTTGAAGTGCTGGGATTATAGGTATATATCACCAAGCCTGATTAGCTTTTCTTTTCTTTTTAAATTATGTTTATTGGTATAATTTAGATATACCTAATGATCACATTCATCATAGGGAACTTGTACTGTATATGAAATGTTTTGGTTCCTCTTTTTTCCCTCAATGCTCTCCTCTCCCTTCAAGCCCCTCTCTTCCTTATTTACAAAGCTTTATTTCTATTTTGTCCCTTTTTTGCAGATATTAATGCCTTTTATTCACATTGCTCTATTGCTTCTGTTCAATACAATAAAATCAGAAAGAAATAAATATTTTAAAGAGATAAAATTAGATTTGGCTGTAGGTAATATGATTGTCTACCCAGAAAACTCAGTGGAATCAATTTTAAAACTACTAAATCGACAAGTTCATTATGATAGTAGGCTATAAAATAGTTATATCAATTACCAGCTTACCTGCAGACCTGTAATAACTAGTTAGACAATAAGAAATATAACTAATAGATTTTGAACAAATATAAAAAACCAATAAATATTCATAGCTTTTAAAATGAAAATTGAGGGCTGGAGAGATGGCTCAGTGGTCTAAAGCACCTACTTAGAACAAGCTTAGCAAAAGCATCAGGGACCGCGGTTCAATCCCCCAGCACCACATGCCAGCCAGCCCTGCCCCCTGGTGGGCTGAGCTGGCCTCTCTCTCTCTCTCTCTCTCTCTCTCTCTCTCTCTCTCTCTCTCTCTCAAATAAATAAATAAATAAATAAAATTAAAAAAAAAATGAAAATTGAAAGGTAAAATAGATTTTAAAGCCATTCATAAATTAAAAGATACACCTTGGGTGGTAATATGCTAACATGTTGATTCTCCCAAAATTAGTCATAAATGTATAAAGTATATTGAGAATTTTCTTGGGAATCTGATTGATGTAAAGGTAATTGTCAATAATAAATGTGTATATTATACTATTATATAAATAGTTGGTTTTTTTCTTATTTAAAAAATTTTTCCTTCTTTGGGCCAGGGAGATGGCTCAGTAGAATAAGTGCTTGCCTGGCAAGCGCAAGGGTGTGAATTCAATCCCTGGCCCCCATTTGAACATTTTCTTCATATTTCATAATACTTATTATCGACTTCGGTCCTTGTTTACCATTTCGTTTCAAACAAACAAAAAAAACCCCCAGTGCAATATTTACACATATATGTCTGGTTTATTTCACTTCTGAGTATGGTCTCAAGGTATATCCCATTTACCTAGAAATGCCTTAATTTTATCCTTCTTTATAGCTGGGGAGTACTCCATTGTGCAGAAAGCCACACCTTTTCATCCATTCCTCAGTTGATAGGCACTTAGGTGGTTTCCAAGATTTGGTTATTGCACACTGTGCTGTTAGCAACTTGAGTGTGTTATAGTGCTGTGGTATTTGCTTTTAATTCTTTTGGAAGATACTCAGAACGGGGATAGCTAGGTGAAATGGAACTTCTAGTCCTAGATTTTTTTTGAGGAATCTTCATGTGCATTTCCACAGTGGTTGCACCAGTCTACACCCCCAGCAACAGTGGTTAACTGTTCGTTCTTCTCCACAGCCCTGCTAGCATTTCTTATTAGTTAGTATCTTGATAGTTGCCATTCCTTCTGGGGCCCTTGTGCTTGTTTTAATTTTCATCTCTCAAATGACCAGTTAATATTGAACATTTTGTCCTGTATTTGCTGTTTCTACTTTATCTGAGAATGGTGTATTCATCTCAGATGTACATTTTTTGATTGGTTATTCTTTATGTATTTTGGATATTAGTTCTTTGTATTAAGAATACATGCCAGTTTTTCCAGCACTATTTATTAAAGAGGGTGTCGTTTTTTTCCAGTGAAAGTGTTTGACACCTTTTTCTAAGATAAGGTATCTGTGTGTGTTTGGAGTTGTTTCTGTTTTAATCTGTTGCATTGATCCTTGGGTCTTTATTTTTGCCAGTACCATGTAGTTTTTTTTTTTTTT